TGGATGAGGAATGCAATTACGCACGAACCGGTTGGATTGCTTCTCGCTATGTTGGAATTCAGGCTTCCTTATAATATCCTTCTCAGCCAACTGAGAAACCTATTCTCCACCACGGAACAGTGTGGGACTCGCCTCTTGTTGAGGAATACCCACTAAAACTCACCCTAAAATCAGAGCTCAGGTTTGAACCCATGATGATGGTAAATAATGATAAAATGCTAACTGCCTGACCAAATGGGCATTTTAATTTAATTATATATTAATTATTTAATTTAATTATTAAACGTCGACGTAATAATATAATCTCATGATGTGTATAATTAATTAATATATTAAAATGCCTTCATCAAATACATCATCAACAAGAGGCGAGTCCCACACTGTTCCGTGGTGGAGAATGGGTTTTCTCAGTTGGCTGAGAAGGATATTATAAGGAAGCCTGAATTCCAACATAGCGAGAAGCCTACAATCCAAGCGGTTCGTGCGAAATTGCATTCCTCATCCAAGTTCATCAAATACATCAAACTAAAAAAAAAAAAAAATTTAATATTGTACGACGTCTGCAGTTAAATATTGGGCTATTAAATATTGCTGTATCAGCAGCCATACTCGACGTTAATTTAGAATATATCAGCTCGTACGACGACGTCGTAAATATATTATAATATAAATTTTTACTAGGCCGGCGCTCGGTGTTAAAAGGATTCAACGGGTTTAAGTCATCCTCGTGGACATGACATTCCATTGTTGTTGTTGTTGTTGTTGTGTTACATCTGTTTACTGTTCATTGATTTTCCTTTTACATGTTGTTTGTCTTGTCTTGATTTATTCAAGTTTTGTTGTGGGATCTGGGGGATTTTATTTTTTATTGTGGGTTCTGGGGCACTTTTATTGAGTATGGGTACTGGGGTATTATCATTTATCATTGGGTTTTTCATTTCCTTTTTACTTTTTTATCCGGGTTTATTAGGTTCAGTTCTTCATGGTGATTTGTATTCTTTTTGAATTATTTTGAAATAGGGGAACATAATGGAGATTCTTGCTACATGTTTTCATCTTAAAGGTTTCAATGAGTGAATAGATGTTGAAGGTCAATTGGGAGGACTACATTTAGATGTACTTATGATTCCTGGAAACTTGTGAGAATTGATGAAGTTATGATTTCGGGATTTTTCAGCTTTTGATGATGATGTTGATTAGAATTCATTGCTTGCTTCATTTTCCTGTGTAGTGCGGGAAAATTATTGAGTCAGTCAAGATGCCAATTTATTGGTAGAATGATGTTTTCTTTGAAACTAGTCAAAAGTCATAAGAAGTTTACAATGAAAACCAAAAAAAAAAAAAAAAAAGAAGCAAAAGCAAAAGCAAGAGAACTTGAAACCTAATACTAATAGATCAGTTGATCTCTAGTTGTTATTCCATTTAAACAAATGATATTGATGATTTCAATTGATGATGAAACTGAAAGGCAAGGGCCCTGTCTGATGTGGAAGATGATTCGGTTGTTATTAGATTGTCGTTTGGGGATAATAACAAAGGTGTTTTTTATGGCTGGATCTTTCATTGATAGTTTGTATTAGATTGGAGCATATGTGACAATTGAAACTTACTGATTGATTGATCTCAGTCATTTTCACCTATTTTTTCATCTAATTGTCATAAAGGTTTATGGCATGTAGTTGATATTAATCACGTTCTTATTCTTTTTTATATATTCTTTTTATTCTTTTTGTATACGTTTTCTCTATTAAATGTCCTGTTCTGTATTCTCTGTAGCTCGACGTTTGTTGACGAAGTTGATTCGTGTTGACTAGTGGCCCTGTAATTAGTTTAAGCAGACTTAATTATAATCTGCTTTACTGTCAAATGTTAATTGCTGATAAATATAAGCAAGTAATCATCGAGACATACTCTTTTTCCATTTAACATAGAGCCATTACCTAGCTATCATCGACTACTCCATTATTGGCAATGAAACCTCAAAATGGAATGACAAGACAAACATAAATGGCTGTAAATAAAAGTTAGTAATTGAACATAACAATGATTGATCATGAAAAAAAAAGAACAGGTAAGTGATAATACCAAAAAGCAAGAATTGGAAATGAACAATGAATGATAAATAAAGATCCTTGAAGAAAAGTAAGTAATTGAACATCACAATGATTGATCATGACAAAGAAAAAAGTGAATGATAATACCAAAAAACAAAAATTGGAAATGAAAAATGAATGATGGCCTGGGGTAGATGTCAACGAAACAAAAGAACACCATTGGGGAATGATATTTTGAAACACGAATTCAAGAACAACATATGAGAACAATCATCATTGATTTTATAGAAAAACAAAGAGGCTGGGGAAAAAGTTCTTCAAAATCATCAGAATCAAGTAAACATAATAGTCATCCTAGGTTATTTGGAGTGAAAAGTTATAAACATTTTATCAAGAATCCTCCCATGATTGTAGATATAAGTTCAAGGTAACAATGAAACCCAAATACTCAACTCAAAAGAACAAGCTCTCAAATCTTTCAATGGGGTAGTGAATCAAAGTACTTCCTATCAATCAAACCCACCACTGGCCTTCATAATAGTAACTCATCAACAAGGATAGCATATCTCAAAGGACACTAGATTCAAATGACAAATAAATAAATTCTTTCTAACCATCAAAGTGAAGTGTGCAACCGTAAAAATATCAAGGGTCTTGAGAACATGAGCTGTCTACCTGGAAATAAATAATGAATGGAATAATGGAAGTGAATGATGAATGGAAATGAATGAAGAAACCAACAGTGAAGTAAAAGTAAGTGGTAAAAGAATTGGAGAGAATTGGGATTCGACCTTCTTTTAACCTTTTCCAGAGCAGTTGACACAAAATCCAAAGCAACCACAAAACACAAAAACACAAAACACAAACACCATAGTAATTGAGTCATTCTCCTAAGTAATTCATCTTTGTGTACGTAAAACAATATAAATTTCTATAGGCAACCACAAAAACGGTACATAATATCAGATCTTCAACCACAAAAACGACCGAAAGACAATACTCGTGTTTTCTAAGTGCACAAAAACACCACAGAAACCACATACACAACCAATTTTAGCTTTTGTGTCATAGAAAACAGAGCCAACAATGCACCACAAAACACAAAACACAAAACCATCTTCTGGAAGCAAATGTACATCAACTAAAAGCACTTCAATGAACACCACCCCAATTGTTAACAATAAACACATTACGCGTCAAACAGTCAGCAGTCAGCATCCACAAAGCACCTTCATTCGAAGTCACAACAAGTCCATTAGAAATCTAAAGCACATGTATCCCAATCACAATCACGTTGCAGCGTTAAAAGCGCTATCAATTTCAAACTTGTAGTTTTGATGATTAAAATTCAATTGATGCTTTTTTCCCTTTTCCAAACACATTCGTGAAACCTTCAATCAATGTTTACCCACAGATTGTTTAGATAGTAGATACATAAGTAATTATTTACGGAAAGATACCAATGAATTACTTACCAATAGTTAATTCACTTGTATTCTCTTTCAATTATATATTTCTAGCCTTATCCAACTACTAATACTCCTTAGTATAATATGATTATGTAATCTATCACGTCAAAATATGCTGCCCCAACCATTTTCTCAGACCAAAAGAAAACAACCAAAATCAATTGTAACAAACCTTCTTTAAAAGTTGTTTACAAGGTCAATTGTTCTAGTCAGTTCAATCAGATAGTCAGCTGAATAAACAAATGAACATAAGGAAGGCAATCAACGAGCCTGACACCACTGGATCCTCGAAGCTCTTGTGCGCTTCTTTCAATCAAGATCAAAGTTGTTTTGCTGTAGGGTATGAGAATGGATTTAGGGTTTATAATACAGATCCAATGGATTTGAAAGTTAAAAGAGAATTAGGATCAAATGGCGGGATCGGATTGATTAGAATGCTGTATCGTACAAACTATTTAGCTTTGATTGGAGGTGGGAAGAATCCAAGATTCCCTTTAAATAAAGCCATAATATGGGATGATTTAAAGACTAAAGATGCATTGAATTTAAATTTTTATAGTCCAGTTTTGAATATTTTTTTGTCAAGAACTAGAATCGTTGTGGTTTTGAATAACAAGATCTATGTTCATGGTTTCAATTCACCACCTAAAAACATTGCACAATATGAGACTTTTGATAATCCCTTAGGGATAGCTGCCTTATCACCAGGTGCTTATCAAGATCAAGCTTCAAATTTACAAATATTAGCATTCCCAGCAAGAGTCATGGGACAAATACAAATCGTGGACATTTCATCAAGTGGACAAGAAAGAAATTTAGTTTCAATAATTAAAGCTCATAAATCTAAAATACGTTGTCTTGCATTAAATAAAGCAGGAACAATGTTGGCATCAGCTTCTGAAACGGGGACCATAATAAGAATACATTCTACTCAGACTTGTAGTCTGCTATATGAATTCAGAAGAGGTCTTGATCGTGCTATTATATATTCAATGGAATTTTCACAAAATGGAACAAAATTAGCTGTATTATCAGATAAACAAACTTTGCATGTTTTCAATATTACAAATAATCAACAACAAGTTAATAAACACCATTTGCTGAAGAATTTGCCTGGGTTATTGAGACCGAATTATTTCAACTCTACTTGGAGTTTTTGTTCTGTTCACTTAAAAGATGAAGAAACTGATAGTGATCTTGATGATCGCGGTGTCTTAGGATGGTCTAGTGAAAGTTCAATTATTATATTATGGAAAATGAAGGGCAAATGGGAAAAATATGTTATTGTTGAGAAAGATGAAGTTAATAGTGGTGGTGAAAGTTTCAAGAAATTTGAATTGGTTAGAGAAGGATGGAGAAGTTTTGGAGATTTAAATGAATGAATGAATCGATTCTTTCTACAAGATCTATATTGAGCGTAACGGGTCATTAAACGATATTATATACAAGTGTGTTTATGAGAGGACAGTTGCAAAAATCTTCGGATAGTCTGGGTTATTATTAAGGTGATAACCATTATAGTTCCGAGCAACTCTTTGAGCATCTAATGGTGTTTCAAATTTAACAAGCCATGATCCAAGTTTTGCAAAATTATCAATCTCTATCGGTGTAATCCCACCAGAGATATAATCAATTGAATAATCATACAACATTTTACTAATTGTTTCCTTTGTAATAAAATTTGGAAGGCCTCTGAACAAGACACAATTTTCTCTTGGATATTCAGTTTGCAACTCCACAACATCACCATCCATGTTGTATGTTTCATGAAACAAAGGTGAATTGAAATAATGGTTATCTTTTGCAGGATTAACCATTTCCAAATAAAAATTCACACCATTTAAAAGTTTCCCCAAAGTATCAACATTGAAAGCAGCAGCTTCTTGTACTGATTTGAATATTAAGTAATACCCCATTCTCTCCTGTAGTGTATCTTTAGCTCTACCACGTCTAACTTTGAATTCATGTTCTTTGATCAAATCAAACACTGAAGTTTCCTTTGGTGCAAGTTTTTGGAAATCTGATTTATGTAATAGTTGGTTTCTTGAACGGAATAAAAGAACATTAGACAACTTGTGTATACGTCTTACTGGTAGCATCTCCAAGGATTTCGATAGTGGATGTCTTTCAGTTTTAGTTGAATCTTCAAAGTCCAAAGGTTTCAAGACTGATCTAACAACTTCCTTTGGATCTTTATCATCAAGATTTTGGTTTAATAGATTGGTTCTTAATTGGTTGACTTTTGGATGGACATGGACCATCAGGTCCGGGTAGACACTTCCCAAGATCTTTTTTGCGTCCTGGAAGGTTGTGGGTAGTTTCTTTGACATGGCCTTGTACTTCAAATCTTCAGTTATTATTCTCAATATTGTAACTAACTAACAATTTTTCATCATCATACTAGAAAATCCTCACGTGACAGGGCTTCAAACCGTTTCCCAAAGCGTGCGTTCGCGACCTCGATCACCAAATTCACAAAAATTAAGCGGTTTTCTGTTGGAGAAGAAACTAACGACTCCATTCCACGCCGTCAAACACACCGCAAAACAGTGCAAAAGACTGACGTTCACCTGTTCAGAGTATCAGTGGTCGCTCACTTCATCGCTACACGCTATCCCTCCACCCCCTTCTTGTCCATAGCAGATCACCATCCCCAGGCAGAGAATATTGACGTTGTGCAAATTTTCTGTCCCTTGTATATAACTGAACAATAAGAAATCATCTCAGCAGAAAATGACTGGTAAGTATAAAACAAAAGGCAAGTCGTCAGCCGTTGGGAAAGAGCCGGCGATGTTTTGGATAGATGCATTTCTTGCAAAATGTTGCCAAACAATGATAATGATGACTTGTATGACTATTTCGGTGGCTTAACTAACGTTCTTGTGCTAATAGGTGCCTCACTTCATACTGATCTTTACTCATGGGATCCTACAAACATTAAGGATTCAGCCAAAAATAGTACCTCAAACACATCTTTGGATAGATTAGGCTCTTCTCAAGCTCAACCTTCAGTTCCACCAAGCAAAAATTTGGGCTCTTTGGATAACGTTGATCAAGATTTAGGTAGTATTATTTCCAGTATTAGCGCTGCTAGCCTAAACAACAATAACAACAGCAACAATATGAGTATCAATAACTTTGACCAACCAACTGATTTGCTTGAAGGTCGCAGAAACTCTATAGGTTATGGCGGTAGTGGTCCTGGTTCAGATGTTGATAGTGATTTCGGAAATGCCTTTGGGTTTAAAAGAGGTACTCTATCTTTAGGTACCTATAATATCAATAACACCAATAACAATAACGGTGCTAATGGATCAAGACTACAACCTAATGGGTTTGGATCAGCTTCTATCAGCGGTGGTGTTCCATCTCATCATATGAATACTGGTGCTTCTGGCCGTTTCTTGGAAAAATTTGCTGCCGTTGCTGAAGCCACAAGAGAAGTTGAATTATTAGGTGGTGGTTTAGGCTCTTTATCAATTGGTAGCACTAGTGCTCGTGTTCCATCTTCAAGAAGAACAAGTTTCCTCACCCCAGAAGGTGCCAACCCTAATAAACCATTCCATGAAAGTTCTCCAAATTCCATTAATGAAAGCTTAAATAATCCATTGAACCCTTCATCAACAAGACAATCAATTTCAGAAAGAATTGATAATTATTTATCAAACTCAAACTCACCAAATCAAGCTTTCAAAACTGGAATGGCTGATCATAGTCGTACTATGTCAATGTCGTCAGACCTCAACAACCAATCAGAACATAATTCTTTGAATTTTGATCCAAATGAAAAGGTTAATACCAATATTTGGAACACTGCTTCAGCTGCTTCAGCAACTACGTTCACTCCAATGACAAACCAACCTTCTCAATCAAATCAAGGGCCAATCCCACCACAAGGCTACCCTCAAATGTTTCCTTATGGATTCCCGTTCAATCAACCATTCCCCCTCATGCCAATGGTCCCACCTCAATTTATGGGATCTCAAGGTATGTTTGGTCAATTACCACCTCAGCAACAACCGAACGAAGCTATGCCAAATAGTCAAGATGCTCAAACTGATTCTTCCAAATCTCCAGAAATGAATGATGAAAATTCCAGAACTACGGGTGACGAGTCAAAACCTGCGACTCCTCAAGGTCCCCCAGGCTTCCCACTTCACCCTAAACCTACTCAGCCAAATTTTAACGGTGGTAATCCTCCATTTATGTACCCTCAAGCTTTTTCACCATATGGCTTCTTACCTCCTCAATTGGCACCTCAAGATCCTTCACAATTTGATCCTCAAAATCACCAACAACAACAAGCTCCTCCACCACCAATGACAAACAATCACCCTAAGAGACGTTCACCTAAACCATCATCTCCTAACAATAATCATCATAATAATAATCATTCAGGAAATGGTAATGGTCGTACTAATGGTAATGGTAAAGGTTCAAAAAACCATATCTACAGAAGTCCATTGCTTGAGGAGTTCCGCAACAACCCAAACAAGAACTATACTTTGAAAGATATATTTGGAAGTGGTATTGAATTTTCCAAAGATCAACATGGTTCAAGATTTATTCAACAACAATTGTCCTCAAGCTCATTTGAAGAAAAAGAAGTGATTTTCAATGAAATTCGTGAAGTTGCTTTGGATTTAATGACTGATGTCTTTGGTAATTATGTTATTCAAAAATATTTTGAACATGGTTCAGATGTTCAAAAACAAGTGTTGTTGGAACAAATGAAGACAAAAATTCACTTTTTATCACTACAAATGTATGGATGCAGAGTTGTTCAAAGAGCTATTGAATATGTTCCATTGGATGACCAAGTTTCCATTGTTGTTGAGTTGAAAGATTCTATCTTGGCTTGTATTAAAGATCAAAATGGTAACCATGTTATTCAAAAAGCTATTGAAAAGATTCCGATTGAAAAAATTGAATTTATCTTGGATTCATTAAGAACTCAAATTTATCATCTATCAACACATCCATATGGTTGCCGTGTCATTCAAAGATTGTTGGAGTACTCCAAAGCTGAAGATCAAGAATTCATATTGGGTGAATTGAGTAAATACACTTACTTCCTGATTCAAGATCAATATGGTAATTATGTCATTCAACACATCATTGAACATGGTAAACCAGAGGAAAAGAATGCAATTGTTGATACAGTTACAGGATCTGTTGTGGAGTTTTCTAAACATAAATTTGCTTCCAATGTTGTTGAAAAATGTGTCATGTTTGGTAATGAGGCTCAAAGAGCGATTATTTTGGATGAAGTTTTGAAAAATAATGAAGAAGATAATGATGAACCAGTCGATGATCGCTCTCCATTAGGTTTGATGATGAAGGATCAGTTTGCCAACTATGTTGTTCAAAAATTAGTTGATGTTTCAAAAGGTCAAAAGAAGAAGGTGTTGATCAAAAAGATTAAACAATTTTTGAAACAAATCTCAAAATCTAATTATGGTAAACATTTGGCATCAATTGAGAAATTGATCGTCTTGTCGGAAACCGCAGTCACTTCAGATGATGAAGAATGAAGTGCTATCTTGTGATTATTCCTGTTATTTAGTTCGTACCTTGTGAATAGTTTCTCTCCATACCAATATTCAATGGAGGTGTTTTTTTAGTTTTTTGTGGTTATTACAGCTCTTCTTGTCTTATATGGATCATAGCGGTCCAATTCTTGTGTGTTTCCTTGGCTATAAATTGTTAATTTATATAATACATATACATATTTTGTAACTTTATAACTACAGTGTAGACTTTTTTATACAGAACAACATTGCATTAATAAATATCATGATCATTTTGTGAATGAGGTAAACTCCAAGTTTTTGAATATTTGGTTTTCTTCACTATCAACGTATTCATATTGATTTGTGTTTGTAACTTTTGGTCTTGAGATACTATTACTTCTTGAAACTTGGCTATTGTTATTACTTGGTGATAATTGTTCTAAAAATGATTGTCCAGTTTTAGCACTTGGTTCATTACTCTTTGAATCATCATTGTTTTGTTTTATCTTCATTTCATTATGGTATTTCATAGCTTTATCTTTAATCATTCCAATTTGTCTCATTCTATGACTCCAACTTGAAGCGTAATTACCATTTGAATGCCAAATTTGTGCAAATTGATCAGCTATTAATGCTAAAGTTCTAACAAAAGTAGCCAAATTTTCTTCAGAAACAATCTTGAAATGACAGGTAGCAAACAAACCAGGGACTCCAGATCTTCTATGGATCTTGACTTTATATTTTTGAATTCTATTCTCTGTAGCTTTATGATCATTGCCAAAAGAAACACTATGTGGTTGTATGACAATATTCAAGAAATTAAACTGACTCTTGATAACATTAAAGTCAAATGCTAAACCTGACTCATCAAAAAAGATATTCACATAGTTATTACCAATATGTCTCTTCTTTGCTGAGAAATTTGGATCGTCTTTTTGATTTGGCATTAAAGTAGTTGTGTGATATATCAACTGTAAAATCTTATCATTCCAACCATAGGCATACTCACCATCAACATCATTTTCTGTATCAAGACCACCAACATAGAAACTTTTGCAGCCCTTCAATTTGATCAACCTACCAAATTGAGACAAAAACTTTTGGTATTCCAAAGAACCTGAACTATTTGAAAGAATCTCAGTTTCTGTTTTCTGATTAGCACCAATGTACAATAAACCAATCTTGTGGAACTCAACGACCGGGATTCTATCAAAGTTTGCTATGGATCTTGTAATTGCTGGGTCTTCAGGTATTGGAATTGGCTTTGATGTATTTTCTGGATCAGTGTGAACAATTAATTGCAACAACATATAGTTAGAGGTAAAATCATCTGGATCTTCTTTAGCATGCAGTTGATTTGTGAAGTGTGGAATCATTGACTCATCTGGTGTGACTCTAAAGACAGTGGAACCTGAAGCTCTTCTTATTGAAATGATTGATTCACCTGTTTGTGCGTGTGTGTCTATTCCCACGATACTTGAACCATAAACCCATTTAGAGGAATGCACTGGATCATCAGATGAGAATGTTTGAGGATTTATAGGACTGAACTTCAACTCCAAATCAGAATAAGTAAACCTTGAAATCAGATCTAAGAATGCCATATTCTGATGACTAATATCTGTACCACGGTTACTTTGAGATATAATCAAGTTTTTAATGATGAAGGAGGACAATTGTCTTCTATCGGTCATTTTCATATTCAAATACCAATTAGCAATAACATCATATGATAGAGTGAGCAAATATATGGAAATAGTTGGTGTGACTTCCAAATTTTCAGTTGATGGTGAGTTTTCAGCAGCTAGCTCTTGACCATGATTTAAAATACCTTGATGTTGTTCATTTTTGGTCTCAGAAATTTCATGTGCATATTGAATAAGCTTGAATGTGATACCAAAAGCTCTTTTGAATTCATCAACAGTGAAATTTGAGGTCAAAGATGGAATGTAAGACAATGACAATAAGAATTCCAAAATATGAGCGCTCGCGAAAGCACTTGAGATTCTAGTTTGAAGCTTTGTCAAAATAACAGATAGATATTTCTTGATTGATAATGGAATTTCATAACAGCAAACAGTCAAAATATGAACGCAGGGAATTGCAGTTTTTTCCCATCCTGATAAACCCAGAACCAATGCACCGATAATCTGATCTTCATCTTGCTTGGAAAATAAATCGTGGTAAGAAATCAATGGTGTGAAGTTTCTAACAATAGCGACTTGTAAGTCATGTTTTGAGACATTTTCTGGTAACTTCAAATTTGATGGCAATTTGAGACTTAATTGATCACAAGCCAAAGACCTTAATTTTCTTATACCTTCACCACAAGTCTCAAATAACTTAATATTTGATAGCTGAGGACAAAAATGAGCCCAAATGAATGAATAAATTTCCCAATGTGGGCAAGCTTCCAAGATTTGTATGACAACGCTTAACCATTTTTCAATATCAATAGTTGGTTTTAAAGATAATTTGAAAGATCCACTATCAAATATTGTTAAATCATCTGACGGGATATCTAAGAACTCCTGTGGAATATATGTGATTTCTTCAGGGTATGTCCATTTCTCTGATTCATCCAGACTCAAAGCACTCATTTCAGGTTCCTTCTTCTTACGAATATTCAAATTTCTGGAAAAAGCAGCAGATAAACCATCCATATCAGTTGGATTTGACAAATATATTTGTTTATCTGTAGATGCTCTAATTCTAACGAAAAATCGCGAAACGATCAAAAGCAAATCAACATCCTTTTTAGCTAGGGAAAAATTTGCAATTTTGATCAATGCTTCATATGTCATTGATGCCTTTGTTCCATCAGATTTCAAACTTTTTGCAAATATTGTAGCCATGGATTTAGCAACTAATTTACCAGTTTCCTTGTTGAACAGTTTTTTTTGGTCAGACTTATCGGAACTTGTAAATGAAGCCAAACTGCTTTTTCTCTCTCTTGAATTATTAAAACCAGGCAAAATAAACACATCCAAAAGGTTTTGATAAATATCTGGTGACAAAGACGTAGATATTTCAATCAAGTAGTCCACCAAAGTCTTTATTATTTCACTATTCTCCTCTGATTCTAAGCTTTTGAATAGGAAATCGCCTAGCTTCATCAAAACTGCTTCATCCTTTTTGAAAACCTGCAAAGAAGAATCAAAAATGTCCTTAACCAATTTGAGAGTGGTTAGTCTAACTGTCAAGTCCTTTGAATGATCATAGTAAAAAGTGTTCAAAATGATGGTACAGTTTTTGATCCACTCTTCATGCAATGGTGAACATAGGTTTTCCAGGCTGAAATATTTCAACACATAGACGCTAATCTTTGTAGAGAGGTATTTGTTGTTGTCAATAAAAAACCTAACTAATTTCTCAGTGTTCCCAAAGTATCTTGATGATTCAGCCAAAGAACCTAAATGGACTAGGGTCAGTTTGTATAATTCAATTTCATCATTTTTGTTGATATTTTTGGAAAGATCTTGAAGTAATCCCAATATGGAAACATCATCAGAATCCCAATATTGAAAACTTATCTGGCTTAATGCAGTATCACTCAATAACCTATCATTAATAAATTGTAAGACTGCAACGTTAATGTTATTTCTGTTCCAGCTAATCACGGTTTTGAGAGCATCAAGTAAATCTTTCATATTGATTTGATATGCATAGCTCAAAGTGGTGAAACCGACCAATTTGATGGCACCAACAGATGCTGTAATGTTTTTATCTGATTTTGAGTTTTTGGATTGGATTATGTTTATTAATGTTTGGAAAACCTTTTGAAATTCCACTTCATTGATAAAATTAGTTGTTACCTCACAACAAATGTCATAAAAATTCAAGCTTAAAGTAGCAGAGCCTGCCAATATTTCCAAGGTTTCATAATATAAAGCTTCTGGTATTGATCCGTGTGATACCAGTGTATCAATTGAGTATAAGCAGAGTTCTAAAATTTCTTTATCTGACGTCTTGAGGCATAATTTCATTATTTGGTGTAAGAGTAATTCGGCATCTTTTGTATCAGCTTGTTGGAAATCAGCAACATCTAATAGGCCAGACTTTATACAATCATTCATGTAATTCAAAAGTGGCAAAACACTTTTGTTTTTAGCCAATTCAGAGGCTGATAATGCATTGATGAAGAATTGAACTAATGGTTTCTTAAAAGATTCTTGATGGTGATGAATGAATTTACCATCATCCGTTAATTTTTTAATTATTGGAAAAAAGGATTCAAATTCTGGATCAATTTTGTCTTTTGTGAAATGACAATTCAATATAGCATCATTAAAATATGCAAATCTAGAGGCCGAATCTTCAGTATCGAGATCCACACATGCATTCAACAATATAAGACCTGATTTCCGTACAGAGTGTTGAATATTTGATGATATCAAGTCTCTTGCACAATACCAAATATCAGGTATTGAGCTGGTTTCAAATTCATAAAGACAATTTGAGATTTGTTCCACAGCTTTTGCTCTTGAAGATAACGAACCTGTTCGCACTTCATTGAATAATTCTTGCTTTTGTTGATCAGGAGTAATCAATGATGCATCAATCTTGTTTCTATCACTGTTACTGGTCTTGAATGTGCTTGCCAAAGACTTCAGAAAACCACTTCCGAAACTTTTGTTACTGTTATTTGTTGAAACATTTTGAGAGGAGGACATCTTAATTGAAATAGTCAGCCTGTACTCTCCATACAATTAAACAAGTTGTATGCAGCCAAAGCGACTTTCATATATGAAGCTTCTAATGTAGGGGTTGATCAATCAATTTGCGTACTTTTTGTAGGTTTGATACTTGTAGGTTTTAGCCGCTCGCTTGTTTGAACTAAAATAAAGGATTTGCAAGCTGGGAATTTGATGGATTGTAAGCTCTGGATGCTGGGTGGCGTAGCAGCGTGTAATGAGGAACCAGTTTTCAATGTGAATGAGCAGCAGGAAGAAGGTGAGCTGAATGGATTTGGAGGAAGAAAAGGTTTCGTTACGTCTGAGACGATTTTTTGATTGTAGTTGTTTGGAGAAAAAAAAACTACCCAACCAAAAAGCAGACGACGATGATTAGATAAGCACCACTATCAAAAATCAGAGTAAAGAGCGCCGCAAAGTGGTGCAAAGTGATAAAGATAGTTAACGGGAAGATGTGTTCGAAGAAGGGAAGGAAAAGGGAATTGAGAAGACCTTTAACTGAAATGTTGAGTGTTTCGGCAGCCTAGCTCTGGTGGGAAACAAAGCTTTCAAAGGGCCTATTGTTGAACATTACATCATCGATCCTGAGAATTGGTGCTTGGAATCTGACTCACACTTCTTAAACCAAACTGGGATGGAACATCGCTTATCATATACATCAGTTATACAAAGATGACAGAAAGTGAACGAAGCGAAAGATATTTATGAATCTAATTTTAAGATCAAAATATCCTGTTCCTGAAGGCCAACTGAAATCTGGAATCTGGATCGGTCGACTATGTGCACATCTGAGTCCGTCTAGAGGTTCCTGCTTTAACAGAGTCACTCTAAGAACATGCTTATTACGATCAATTCTCGAGTTGTAATATTATTTCATCAAAATGTGCTGTCATGAGACTCTATTGACTCGAGGACGTTGAATATGAACTTCGTTATGCGTTTGTTTCCTTCAGAAAATGTGACTTTGACGAGCTCTTTTAGCGTATAGCTTTCGCGGAAACTAAAAGATGCTGTAAAGCTGGGAGCACGAATCACAATCACAATTACAATATTGCATACGTTGTAAGTTGTGATACCCTTGGCAAATTAGATATACTAGACGATGCTCATTGTTCACTGCTCGCCTGACTCCTGTGGCACCATCATGACACATACTTGTGAATAGAATTGGTATTTGCGAAACGGCTTAACAAAAAAATTAGCCATATGGCCCTCAGATGATACCAGCTCGACTCAGAGCCAGACCAATTTATTCATGACAAGTTTCGAGATCTAAACGACCAAGCTAGGAACCTTCACTATATCCTCGTCTAAACAAAAGTTTTGCAATTATATGACCATTCTCTCGTTCACCGAAAGTTTTTGTTAGGTGAAAAAAGAAATTTCCGTCATCAGTTGAACTCTTCAAAAAAAAACTGTCAAGACAAAACTCATCTTATAAATACACCATCTAATCCCCAGATTTGAAGTTGTCACTCTCTTATCACCCACTTCTATTCTTCACAGAATCCATTCATTCAACAAAAGAAAATGTCAAAGGATATCGTACCCATTAATGAAAAAGACATAGATGGTGAAGAACATGTGCTTTCAAAAATCCCATCTCAAGAAAGTGATGTATTTGAAAAACCACCAAATTTACTAGATCCTAATGATCCAACTTTCAAAGCCATTGAAAAGAAAATCATAAGAAAATTTGATTTCATAATTATACCTTGTCTTTCACTTGCTTACTTATTTTCAAATTTGGATAAATCAAATATTGGTAACGCAGCAGCAGCAGGTATGAATGAAGATTTGAAATTGGTTGGTAATCAATATGGTAATGTCGTTAGTTTATTATTCGTTACCTATGTTATTTTTGAAACTCCAATTGCCATCAGTTTGAAATATGTGGGTGCTAAGTTTGCCTTATCATTCATGTGCTTGTTCTTTGGTATTACATGTCTTTGTACTTCTTTTGTTACAAATTATCATTCATTATTAGCTTGCAGAATGTTGTTAGGTTTATTTGAATCAGGTATTATCCCTGTCATCAATGTTTATTTAGGGATGCTGTACACTAAAACTGAAATGGCTAAAAGATGTTCAGCAGTGTATTGTGCCAGTGCTGCAGCTGGTGGGTTTGGTGGGCTTTTAGCATTTGGGCTAATCAAAATAAATGCCCATGGCTGGGAAGGTTGGAGATGGTTATTTGCCATTGAAGGTGCTCTGACTATTTGTTCGTTCCCAATTCTGATCATATTATTACCAAGAGATCCAACAACTGTTTGGTGGTTGAATGCAGATGAAAGAAAAGTTTTAGTTACAAGACTGACCAAATATCCAGATTTTTACCAAGATGAGAAATTTGCTTGGTCAGAAGTTAAAAGAAGTTTGATCGATGTCAATAATATTTTGGTGTATCTTTATGAATTTTGTGTCGATTTAACATTATTTGGTATCTCAACTTTTTTGCCTTCCATAATTAAAGGTATGGGTTACAATAAATATGAAACTCAATTGTTGACCATCCCATTTTATGCAATTGCCTTGATAAGTTTCATTATTGTTGGTTATTTCTCAGATAGATTTCAACATAGAGGTGGATTTTTAATCATAGGTTTAATCTTTGAGATTATTGGATATGTGATTTTGGTCACCGCTGATTCTTTGGGCGCCAGATATTTCGCATGTATGATGATTGGTGTTGGTATTTATGTTTGTTCGGCATTGAGTATCATGTGGATCAATAACAACAACGCTGGTCATTACAAGAGAGCTACTGCAGGTGGTATGATTACAACAATAGGTAGTACAGCAGGTGTATTGGCTGGTCAAATTTATACTGCCAAATCTGCGCCAAGATATTTCAAAGGTTTAAGGATTGCATTAGCTTTAACTTGTGCTGCTGTTTTCTTTGTTATTGCAATGATGTACAATTATAATAGACTTAATAATAAAAGAGCAAAGAAGGTTCAAGAATTGCTGAAAGAAGGGGTTGATATTTCAGATGAAAAACCAAAAGATGACACTTCTTTGAACTTCAAGTTTATTTTATGAAAATAATATATAATGTTTAATACTTTTAATTGATTAATAATGCTTTTACGGATTTGAACTACCCATGGTCATTGTAACTAAATAATTTTTCTATAATATTTGAAGAATTGAAAACCAAAGTAGAAAGATGTTAAATTATTGAAAAAAAAAAATGCGAAATGTAAAAATGATGCAGAAAATCAAACTCTATAATATAATGTACAAACCAACGAAAATACATTGATCAGCTGGACCTTTACCTAACACCAGTACTTGTATAGTCTATAGTAAACTGGACTGTTTGCCAATCTTTGTTTTTCAAAAATGATTTCTTGTTTCAATAATTCCATATCAATATGTTTTCTACCAGTATCAATATCCATATCTTTAGCTCTGATGAACAAAATCCAATTTCTTTTCCAAAGTTTATGACCAAAGTAAAACACAATAAAGATTGCCAAACTTAAAAACACTTCAAAGAATGATTTAGCATCAGCTTTATTAGTTGGGAAGAGGGCAACCCAAAATTGACCCATTAAAACCAAGACATTCAAAACAATACCATAAACGGATCCCCAAGCACCTGTTTGTGAAACATAAGTCAATTCATCGGTAGATCTACCTTGAACATACAATGCTCTTCTAAATCTAAGATGACTGATACAGATGGATAACCAAGCAAAAATAGTGGACAAACCTGAAAGAGCAGATAACCAAGTAAAAACTTCATCTTGTTTATCAGAAGAGGCAATGAATGATAACAAACCAAAAATTAGAGTGAATAAAGTTGCTACCAATGGTCTCCCTTTTCTATCAATATAAGAGAAAAACTTTGGTGCATGGCCAATATCAGCTAATGAAGCAAACACTCTTGAAGATGCATAGACTGATGAGTTTGCAACTGACAAAACAGCTAACAAAATGATAACATTCATCAAAGATGGAAGACCTTTGATACCACCATTTTGAATGGCAATAACAAATGGAGAAATTGAGGCATAATCACCATTATCACTGTTCAACAATCTTGGGTCATTGTATGGAACTAAACAACCAATCAAAGTCAACATGGTGACATAGATGATGGTGATTAACCAAAAGGTTTGCTTAGCAGCCTTTGGGATAGTTTCTCTTGGGTTTGAACATTCCTATTTGAAAAGTTAGTAAATCAAGTTAATGAAAAGATTAAAATAAATTATATCAAATTCCATGAAAAAATTATCTCCGAAACACAATCCATTCGGAGATAAAATCTGTTGTTAAGAAAAACAATTGAATTTGAGATGTCCCTTTCTTAGTCTACTTACGGATCCCATAACAGCAATCAATTCTGTACCAGCAAATGAGAAAGCAGCTGTGACGAAAACACTACAGACACCTTTGAATCCATGTGAAAACGCACCAGGATCGTGCCAGTATTTACCGCCAATGTAACCACCTTCTGGAGCACCACCACAAATTAAAACGATACCCAAGATGAAGAAACCAACAGCAGCAATGATTTTGATTAATGAAAGAACAACTTCGGATTCAGCATAATATTTGACGTCCAACATGTTCAGAACAAAAATAAAGACATAAAAAATGGCCACCCAAGCATCTGAATCGATTGTATGATTCCAATACTTGATCGTAATGGCAGCAGCGACCAATTCCAAAGGTAGTAAAATCAACCATTGTAATGCATAATTCCAACCCATTGCGAAACCAAATGAAGGGTCAACAAATCTTGTAGCATAAGTTGTGAACCCACCAGTAACAGGGAATGTGACACATAATTCACCCAATGCAACCATAGTACTAAACATCATAGTGGCAATGATAACCCAGCCAATAACCAAACTTGCTGGACCACCTTTGTTTAAAGAACCCCCAGAATTCACAAAAAGACCAGTACCCAAGGCACCCCCAATAACAATCATCATCAAATGACGGAACGTTAGATCTTTCTTCATTTGTGTTTTGGATGAATTAAAAGCAGCTTTTTCAACATCTGTTAATTCATTATAATCTTTTAGTTCGGTTTTATCTATGTATGAATCTGATGTTTCTGGTAATGCTTCTTTGAATGAATTTTTAAAATTTTGCCAGCGACTTGAGCCTGGGACTTCATTGGAGTCAGTAAATACATCATTGTTTGGAGCTATTGGGTTATTTGATGTGTTGACAGTGATGCCTGAGGCCCTCTTTGAATCTGCATCAGACATATTTCTATCCTTTCAGCAGTGTTAGATGCTTTATTATGAGCTTGTCTTTAGAATTGTGGTATTTAAAAGTGAAGTTATACTTAATTTTAAAACTTTTTTGACGGTTGTCATTCTGACTTGGAAGAAAAAAAGAAAAAATGGCAGATTTGCAACGACTAATATTGCGTAATTTGTCGTTTTTTAGCGCGAATAACAACAGCCAAATTCCAACGGTTTTTGGCGAACCTGGTTAAAAATTTTCAATCCTGTCAAAAAAGAAAAATCCATAGAGACTTAATAAATTACATTACGAGAGAAACCATTCAACTTGAGCTTGCTCGACTTGGATTGGAAAGTGCACCTGTTTTGACTTGTAGCTTGGAATGACTTGATCTCATAGGTCTTACAAGTAGATCTGCTACAATTCACAATTTTTTTCAGGGGGATTACCGTTTTCAGACTTAGAAGCGACAGAGAAATACTCGATTAAGAAAGATTCACAGCTGTTGAGCGTCAATTGGCAGAGGTTTCTTGTTCAACAGGCGATTTAGGTTGCATAATCTAGCAAATGCCGTAGACCTCTCAGACAATGTGAACAGTCCAGACTCCAGAAAGAAAACAAAGAAAGCTGAAATCTTTGTCACTGGTCAGACTCAGTGGACCGTGGTGACTCAGTATGTAAAGTCACCTTCGAGTGGAATAATACAAAAGGAGGTTCAACAGCTTAATTAATAGTGAAGTGGACTTGCTGAATGTGTCATTACCTCCTAGCGTTATACTAGAATCAACGAAGTATGTGTTTCGAGGGCTCACAGCTGAAGAGCTTCAACTTTCCACCTAGTTCATTCCTAACTCCTAGCTATGTAGCCAATTCAAAGATATTCATTCTGCCATTGATTGATTGAGCTTTGACAGCTATCGTTTCAGACGTTGACTAGTTAGAAGTATATAATTGTTAACTATATATCTGAAGTCACAAATAAGTTTCCACTCTTACATTAATTAAAAAGGGTATGAAAGGCTGAACAGCATCTTCCCTTTCACTTTTTACATAGGAAGAGCTGGGGACACCAACTAATGGCAGCTGAAATGAAAATTGAAACGTTTGACAAGTTACGTCTACTCCAAAATCTTGATCCAGTTGCATAAGTCTAGCGTACATATCATATTTTCGATTCAAAAATTAGCCTGCGCCAAGCTGTCGAATCGAATCGGTACTAGACACTAGAGATAGCCAAAGGTACAGAACTGAATGTAATATCAACAAAAATGAAAGAAGCAGACAAAATAAAAATAACAATATTGTAATAGTTCGAATTGGATATCATCAGGAAAATCAAGCAGCGAAAATAAACTACACTTGAAAATTGTACTGTTGAGAACAGTTGTTGACAGAATATCCTCTACTGTGTGTATATAAGGTAATTCCGATGTTCTATTAATATACATATAATGTTACAATTAGTGGATTCTTGATTCTTCTTATAGTTGATGTGAAATGTTGAGTATTGATGAATTGTGCATAATTGGTTATTCTGGTTATGTAATACCTGACATTCCCCCCCTCATTTCTGAGTATTTATTGAATGTAATAATATTAAATATGATGAAACTTGATTTGGAACTATATTGTGTTGTCTTTTGTTAACCGGTGTTCAATTGGTTGTGATTGAATATGAAAGAATGAGTGAAGTACCTATAGATTTAAAAAGAAATGATTCTTGAATGGTGTGGAGGTTAATGTCTTTTGAATTTCAGGACCTGAGTATTTCTTGGTGAGAAAATCTGAGCAGTTTGAGATACCTGAAATATGATGGAATGTAACAATGTTATCTTCTTTGTAG